TGGCATCGCTACTAGGAGCAAGGACGCTACTAGGGGCTCTTGGCCTTGTTCGCTACTAGGGGCTCCTGGCATCGCTACTAGGACCAACGACGCTATTAGGGGCTCCTGGCCTTACTACTAGGAACAAGAAGCTATTAGGGGCTCCTGGCATCCTGGCCTTACTACTAGGAACAAGAAGCTACTATATAGGAGGTTTCAAATTAAAGACATGTCCTATTCCCAAGTGCCTTAAGTTGACTGATGAAAGAATTCTTTGGAAATGGTCGACCATCCCGGCATTTGGGGAATCTTTGGCAAGTTGATGGAACTCCCGTTGATTTTCACTCCCATCCAGGCAAACCTTCCTGGCTCTCGGATCGCGGTAGCCTTGCGGCCACCTTGCCGTCACGGCGCGGCTTGGGGGCCCTGAACCAAGAAGATGAGGCGCATCTCGTCGTTTTGAGCGCACGTGCCCCATGCCCACGTTGAGAGGGGAAGATGCGTTGACAGGCGGGCACTTTGATTCTGACTCAAAAGAGAATGAAATATGATTCTGACATAACCATAGTGTCTGACACTCCATGGGACTGACATATGTGCCTACATTCATCCCCTTTTCAACCGCCCCAAGGCATTAAATTGTATTGTATAAATAGTATTGCATAGTATTATTCATCCCGTGGATGCTTTGGGATGTGTTGCTTGATTCATGGTTTGTTCACTCGAAAACCCGATCTCCTTGGAGTTTTCCTCGTCAGGGCTCGATGGGACTCGACCAGACTGAGCAGTGAAAACCGAGTCCCGACCAGTGGTTGGGTGGTTGGATGGTTTGAGAAAAGATGGAAAAGGGGACAGGTGAAAATTCCAGTTAGGCAATCAGTTTCGTCAATAGAAAGGAGTCTGACGTAGACCTGGGACCTGACGTAACTGCTGGACGCCAAGAAGACGTCGAACGGAGTCAGAGCCCTTCCGGAGCCGTTCCGGGTGCACAGCTGGATTTGTCCGCGTCCAGCAACTCTGATCAGATCGCAACGCTGTGGTTGGTGTCGGACTCACCCCAGCGAAGAAGCCATGTCCATGTGCCCATGATCATGGACTGCTCGTCAAGGACTCAAGCAAAATAAGCCATCAGGTAAAAGCCAAATAAGTCAAGGTCCTTGAGCCATGGCGAAGAGAATTTCAGCGTTGCAGCCGAGTGGTAAAATACTCATTCTAGAAGTCACGCCACCGACAACAGTCCGGGCACTCAAGGAGCAGATCAAGGAGGGACAGCCTTGGGATGAGCTCACTCGCAGCACTACAGGTGTGGAGATCGTTGTTGGAGACAGCCAATTGCTGGGTGATGATCTAGAGGTATTGCATGCTGGAATTGCTGAAGATACTGTTGTGAGTGTTGTCTTCAAGCCAAACAAAGTGATATGCTCCAACAAGGGTGCGATCGACGGTCTTGGTGACATCATTGACTCAGAACTTTTGCTTGTGGTCGAAATTCCGAATGATGATACACAAATTCATGAAACCGCTTTTGCAGGTTGCTGCACATTGGCCAAAGTGAACATTCCGGACTCAGTAACCCACATTGGAGATGGTGCCTTTCAGAGTTGCAGCTCTTTGACGAGCTTGACCATCCCG